CCCTAAACTTTTAACTGGGTGGCATCTCTTAATTTTGGAGACCAGAAAATGGTAGGCAGTTCAGTTTTCCAAATACATTAAGCTGAATCCTGCTCCCCATCGAAGCCTGTGATGATTTGCGAGGGAGACTGAGCCTGCCAGAGTTCCTCCAAATCCTTCTTGAGGCAAGTTACTCCTGTAGCTCTCAGTAGCCCTGCTGCAGTCAGAGGAGCAGCACCTTCGCTGACGTGACCTGGCACTGGTCCCTTGGCTTCAGTGACGCTCGGCCGCAGCCCGCACCAGCTGGGCATCTCTTCTGCAGGACTCGTTGCTTCAGTACAGGCTGCAGGGAGATTTTTTTCCATCAGACCCCTCACATACAAGAATTCAGTCTGGTCTTTCTGAAAAAGACTTCAGAGTCAAATTGTGGCTATTAAGATTTTCAGGATTAGGAGGTCTGGCTAAGGAGAAGTTTCTTCACTGTGTTTTCCATGGGTGGATTCCACCCTTGTGCAGTAATTCAGCACACGCTACTTGAGTCATTTCTGGCCCAATGGGTCCACTCTCTGTGTAATATTTTTGATGTAACACATTTAGTTGGATGAAACTGAACGCGATGCAGCGTGAAGAACATGAGTGTGTCTTCTGTTGTTCATGACTCCATCCTCCTGTATTTCGTGTTCACACTTGGAGTTCAGCTTCTGGTCTTGGGGACTTACCATTCAAGATTACTTTTATGAAGGTGGACTATGAAGTGTGGTGCCTGTGGCATAGTTGATGTAGTAGGAATCCACCCGTCTTGCAGAACAAATTCCTCTGTCGGGTACAGTTTTTAAATCAAACTGGGATGCTTGATCCTGCTTGTGTAATATGACTTTATTTAAGGGGTACCACTTTCAGATTATAGTGACGCTTCATGGGGAGGTGTGCTTGAGTGGACTCCCACTCCAGGAAAGGAGAGCTTTAGTAAGAGGATGCATAAAGATTAAAATAAAATAGCTAGGTTGGAAGTGCTGTGCTGTACATTTAGCCTTTAAATTACTGCTAGTCTTGGAAACAAGGTTCTCTTCAGTAGGATTTCTGAGACTGTTGTGGTGTCTTTTTACTATACTGTAGTTAGTGCCATGCCAAATGCAGACAAAGTGATGAAAAATGTTCTGGTTACAGCTCCGTTGACAATGCTGGCTCATTCACAGCATTTCAAGGGAGGAGGGATGGCCAGTGACATGGCTCACTCATTTTTTGCAGTAGTATGATGGCTGGCACTAGGTCACTCATAACTTGCAGGAATAATAGACATAATGTTGCTAATGAATTTAAGGTACATCTTATGTTAAGAGACAGGATCTGAATTTGCATAACTGAGATTAAGTTAATGAGCATTGTGTAGTTCTGTCCCTTGTCTGAAATGGGGCTCATGAAGTGCAGTAGACCTCTTTGCTTGTTTGGGTGTACTGCAGTTCTAAAAGCCTCCTGCAAAATCATAGTTGAGCTCATGCACAAGGTTCAGTTCTTCAGCAAAGGAGTTTATTGCGAAAGTGACCTTGATGACCCAAGATATTAATGGGGAGCAACGTTCTCCTTCCTGTAGGTAGGCGGTCAGCTTTTTCTTTATAGGTATCAAAGATAGCTGTGTGGTGAACACAAAGTGCTTACCTGGAGCAGGGCGTTTTATACGTGCTTTGCATGTGTGGAAGTAAGACCTTTCCAGTCCCCCCAAGGTCAGCATGACAATATGCTCGCCAAGTCCCAAGTGCACGAGTGGGAATCGCCTGTATGCGGCTTCAGCTTCCGCCCTCAGATTGAAAATTTAAGACCTGTTCACATCAGATGTGCCTAATTTGGGATAAGTCCATCTGCTTGGGTTTCTTTTGCTGTTTTGTTTTAACTTCCATTCAGCTTTGAAGCAGAACTTTAAAGGAAGAAACGTGCTTGTATGTATATAAGCTTGAGGTGTTTCACACTGGCATCTGTTCCCCAAAGAAAACAATGCTGTGAATTTGAGGAAGGGGAATGCATGTAGGTGAAATGAATGTGCCATCCTACCTTTTTTTTAAAGACTATTCAAATCAAGGTGTGGAAATTAATGGAATAGGTACAAGAAGAGTAAGTTCTCTTTAATCTCCTTGGGTAAGCAGTGCTGTACAACAAAGACAAGTTCAGGCTGAGCCTTCAATTGAACTTTTCTTATTTGAGATCAAGATAATACTGAACTTTTGTTTAAAACAATTTTGCTACTGAAATGTAAGAAAAAAATAGAAAATGTCATTTAAGAAATCCCACAGAACAGTTACTTGAATTAAAGTTGTTGCAGTAGAGGTATTTTTTTTTATTGTGTGTATGTTTCTCATTGCAGGTATTTTTTGATAGACTTAGAGGGCCCACCTTCGATTGTATCGACCATGATGGATCATTTAGGACGTGATATTGATGTAATTAGACGTGCTTTTATAAAGCATCCTGTGTCAAAGACAGAAGAATGCAGTGGCATAATCCCAGTCAACTATGAAGATAAACTAATTGCCAAGAAGAAGTAAATATTCCAAATAGCATGTTTGAAACTTTAAAAAAAAAACTTTTATTCCTGCTTCAGAAAACAATTGTGATAACTAATGTTCATCAAAAATAATCAGTTTTGGCCATGTTATGTGTGTGGTATAGTACACTATCTTAGGTTACTGTAACATTTGAGGTTTCTTTTTGTTTCAAATAATTTGAATAGACTTAATCTGTATGCTTATCTTGATATTTGACAACTCTGAAAATTGATTTTCTTTTCTCTTAGAGCATTACATTGATAATGAAGATTTATCCATCATCAGAATGCTAAAAATAGCATTCTTTTCTAAAGACAGATTACTTCAGGATATGTATCTTTACATAAAAGATTAAGAAGTCTACAGTGTGAATATAGCAGTATAGGATGTGATTTGTTGGAGGGATTTTTTTTGCTTGTTTTTGGAAAAAGGTAATAAAAGTTTGATCAAAAATAAAACTTGACTCATTTTTTTAAAAGCAGAAAAGGTACAAGAAAAAATAACTTACCACCAAAAGACATGTCATACTTTTTTCTTTAAGGTAATAACTCTGTTCAAAGTACAGGTAAAAAAATTATTCCCTACAGAAAAGGCCAGAAACTTCCAGGCTGCAGGTTAGAGAATAGCCGTGCTTATATATGAACAGAAGAATAAACGATGCTTTGTTTTACCATCAGCTAGATTCAGGTGGACACTTCAAACGGAGAAAAATGTCAGGACTAAGGTCTTAACGTATATTTTGTCTTTCTTTTGCCCCTGTAAAAACAGGCGAAACAGCAATGCGTGTGAAAGATGATGTTAATGTAGTACGACCTCCTGCAGGTCTGACATAAATTCAGTAATTTCCAGAGGATCTCCATGTGTCCCCCACGCTACTGAAGGAACGCACTGGCCATTTCTTCCAACTAAGGAGCGTGTGTGTAATTCCTGTAGAAAAAAGTAAGTTGACGCATGTTGTTAGGCAAAGAGGATGTTCTTTACCTGAATAAAGCTTCATCTAGAAGCTCCCTCCTCCAGCGCCGCAGTGTTGTGCGTTGCCAAAGGGAAGGCCAGTCTGAAGGCCAAGGTCAGATTCCTGGAGACCTGTGACAGGCTGCTCTGCAGCATGCTATTTCATCACGAGTTTGTCTGTTGTCTTTTGTGGAGGCAGCTGGGTCATTTTTGGGGAGAGATACTGCCTTTTTTTTTTTAGATACAGAACTTCGGAGGAGAAAGAAATGAGCGTTTCTTCTGAGTATCTTCTTGTTTTAAGGAAAAAGTGAATTAGAAAAATGAAAGAGAAAATTTTCTTTCTGTATATCTTTATTTAGGAGACATGAATGTGTGTGTGGTCTTGGTGGTTCCTGTCCCCGCCCCCCCTCCTGATTTTTCGGTTTTCTTTTTTTAAATCTGCTTTTCTTTTAAGAGCAGACTGTCACATTTTGTCTCCTCTTTCCTGGAAAAAATGTTGGGAGAATAGAGAAAATGCACTACGTGTTTCCTGAAGCTGGATCTATATTAGGTGTACTTTTTTTTTTTGTAGTTGCTGCCAGTTTTGATCACATAATTTCTATGTGCACCGGTGCCTGCTCCAGGCAGAGCTTTACTTATCAACGATTTTTGCTTGTAGGACAGACCTTTCTGCCATACGGGTGTGAGCTTAGCTAGGAGTAGTCATAGGTTTGTCAGTCTATGCTAAGCGTTTGGCTCTTTGAGCTGCCCTTTCTGGTGGGCTGCTGAAAATTCAGGTTCACAGCGCAGAAACTACAAGTAGGGAAATACAGAACGCTTTAAAGAATGCGTTTTACTCAAAAGTTTCTCAGAAGCTTTACTTAAATAGAAAGTGAACAGAAAGCCTATAGTTTAAAATCACTTTGCCTCTGACTAGGTCTTTAGGTCCCAGGTTTCATTTGAGTAGAAAGGAGAATATATCAGCTTTCAGCTTCACAAAATGAAGAAGATTTTCAACAGAGGCTGTACACATATAAATGTTGTATGTTTGTCTTTATTCAATTTCCTTTAGCGTAGTATTCAATTTTGCATTTAATTTGTTCCAATTTCTAGGTTGACGTCTGCATTTCAGTAGGAGAATCCTAGGTGCTCATTAGAGATGAGCCCATCAGCTTATTATTAAATATGTGCCATTATTTGTTGTGAATTAGGACCTTTGATCAGTCGGACATTCGTGCCCCTCTTTTCTGTGGGGCCCATTTCTGATCTTAACAGAAGACTGACGGATGTCAAGAGCAGAAGACTTGGGCTTCTCAGTCCAGCTCATCCCAAGGGTGGATCAACAGTAGCACATCTCTCGGAGCCTCAGCTGCTCCCCAAAAAATACAGCAGTGCCGGCTCTGAGGGAAAGCGGTCTCCAGTAGGCCACAAAACAAGGCGTAGGGAGATGTTACCAAGCCTGTTTTCCTGTCTTCTGAAGCAGTGAATGTGCAAAGGGGAGTGACTGAAAGTCTTCTCTGCCTTTGGGATGGAAACACTGACCACTGAAACCAGTGGCCACAAGCAGAGCCCTGCTTGCTGGACTGGTGCGTGGTTACATAAGCACTGGTGCTTTCTCAGCAGCAGGATTTATTTATAAAAAGCCTGCTGAATAGCTGGCTCTCAACTGGATGTACTATTTTCTTCATAATTGATAGTTTCTAATATGAACATAATTTTTTTTTTTAATAGGGGGTAGGGTGGGGGAGGCTAAGGATGGAGTCTTGGGTTACAATTTGTTTAGCCCAGTCAGCCACCCAGACTGGTAGTTAGCTATTTTGAGAAGCTAATGCATAACAGTGTGCGCCTTCTCTCTCAATAGCTGTAAACGCAGGGATGGACACTGGAGTATATCAGAAGATTTGAGCAGTTCTGGGTTTGAGCAAACAGTCTGAGTTGTGCCATGGGAGAAAGTGAATAACTGTACCCTGAATGGTCATAAATTCTCCTGCAGAGAGGGTATGTAAGGGAATATATATATATTCTATATATCTATATATAGAATATAGCGGAAGCCTTAGCACGTCTTTCAGGTGTGTTTGCCTTTTTGATCACTGATAGCTATTTTGTCCCACTGGGCTGTAAGCAACTCTTGATCTCCAAGAATAAAATTTCAGGACGCTATGTGGTGTCGCTGGAGAGCCAGAAGAGTTTGTGCAGCCAAACCATGGTCAAATACCTAAAATGTCAGACTCCATTGGCACTCCCAAAGGCCTAAACAGTTTGAATACCAGTGCTTTAAATTTTGTTTACTAAAGAATCCGATAGTGAAGCTCTTCAACCCTTCCTTAGATTATGTTCCCAAGTGTATAAAAGAAGTAGTTTTATGCTCCTAGATAGTCTGGTTTTCTTGTTTGCGGATTGTGGAGAAACACTGAGTTGGGTAAGTATTAAAATAACAACTGGCAGTTTTCCTGGCTCAGGAATGTTTTCACTGTCTTAACCTTCAGCAAACAAATGAACACAAGTGGTTTTATGGTGAAGATCTTAGGTATGTCTTCAATCACTTCTTTTTTCCTGATCATCTTTCTCTTTCTCGGATGAATCTTGTACTCTGGAGGTTTCTTCAGCAAACTGAGGGCTCTGCACCATCAAAGCACTCAGCACTTTGCTTTCAAAGCACTTGGTGTGACCACTGGCTTGACCCCAGGAGGTTTGTGCATGCAGTGATTTGCTCCCACGGACTCAGAGCCTGTGCATTTTCTGTACATCTGACTAGCCTGTCAAAGTCCTGTTTGTTGATAGTGTGAGCTTAAAGAATTTCAGGATCCTCAGTGTCAGCAGAATATTTCTGTCACTAAATGTTTTAATGACACTCTGAAAATCATCTTTCAGCTGGACTTCTATTTAGGAGTAAATTGTGGGAGCTGCAGGCTGAGCTGGGTACAGCAAACACGCAGGGATATATTGCTTTGGAAATTATCTGAGGAGCTGTTAGAATGGCAACAGTCAACATGACTCATGGGCTCCTACTGTTGAATCTAGGCTTTGATCACTGAAACATATTACCTGTCACTTAATGAGATCAGTTTCTGTTTAGTAATTGCTACACTCTGTTATGAGGGAAGACTTTGAGATTTAAAGCGTGTTGGAGTCACAGAAATTTCTCTTAAGATGTGACCAGTCTGCCACATGTCATTTCTGCTCAGAGAGGCTCCCAGGATCTGTCCAGCACTGCCGGTGTCTCCAGCATAAATGTTCAAGAGTCATAAGGCAAACCCCCCAGATATTTTGAACTCGTGGCATGTAATCATGGGCTTAAAAATCATGAGTATTGTTTAAAATGTGAAGTTCTGTTTATTGGCCTTTTAGATTTTATGATTCACTTTTTTCAAACTTTGTTGCTGGCATGATTTTCACATAACATCTGACTGAAGAGCTCTTGGAAAAACACAAGCTATAACAAATGAGATACTTGATAAATTCGTTTGGACTGGTGCTATGTCACTCCACCCACTGAAAGAGAACAAGGGAAATTAAAAAGGGAATCATTGTTGTGTCCTTTCCTAGAATTCTGAGGTTCAGATAGGATAAAAGTGAGAATTGATGTGGAGCCAAAACATGCATTTTCCCAACTGCCTGCACAAAGGGAAGGTTAAAAATGCGTTACTCTCTGTAACCTATGTAATGCGTTGCTTTCTTAGTGCAGCTTCAACAGGCCTTTAAAAACACACAGACTGCGTGTCCAGCTGGTGGACCACCTTAAGCTAATGCTGCTCCTCTTTGCACAGCTCTTTGTGCAATGCTGCAGAGGAGTGGAAGAGTCACCTCTTACTGAATGCTGGTTAAGGGGGAAGTGATGCCTTGACAGATACCAGTTCTGGAGTATTCAAGGTTGCCTTCTAAAAGCATTTTTAAAAGGAGGTAATGCTCACTGTAAACCTGGGAGAGTTTTTGTCCCTGTTATTTTTGCATTGTGCCAAGGCTGCCAAGTCAACCTTGTCTGGAGAATGCTAACTGGCATGTAGAAAATCCAGCTGATTAAAATCTTCAAAATATTTCTGTTGAGGATAGTTTTGGGTCATAGCACAGCTCCACTGAATCAGTAAGAGGCCTCTGGCTGAGTTCTGTAGGAGCGGATGTATCCTTGACAGTACCAAGCACTTTCTCCCAAGGGGAGTCCTTTAGCCACCTTAGCAGGGTTTGTAGACTTCTGAACTTCTGTTGATGAAGACTCACATGACGCATCTGCGCAGGGGCTGGTTGGTGCACCTTGGAGAACGCTTAACACGTGCAGGACTCTCACGGAGCTTCTGACTGACTGTGGCAATGAGATAAGTTCAGCTTGATTTTCTGCTGAGGGCTGACGTGAAAGTTACGTGTGTGGAGAAAAGGGCTTTAATTTCGCGTTTCCCTTCACAATTCACCTTGGAAGCAGCAGTGGGGTGAGGCAGGGTGGAGAAGGCTTGTTGCATACTCAGTGTTCTTGCAGACTGTCTGCTGCGCTGTTTTTTGTATGTGACAAGCAGAATGAAAATGTCATATGTAA